AGTTCCTTTCCTTCCATGAACTTATTTTTCCATCTCAATGCGCTTATTCCAGGATTTTACCTCCCAGTTTTTATGATTCAAAGTAATTTTTGGCTTCCCTACCTGTCATAATTCTTTACATTAATAAATACACATAAATTTCCTGTGACCATAAGGTCTTGTGTTAAAAATTTTTTCTGAATTGTATTATCATTATATTTACCAGTAGTTCAAAATTCATTAAAACATGTGATGAATTCACTAAATATTGAATATGGGCTTCCCTGAGCGCTCAGTTGGTGAAGAATCCACCCGCAATGCAGGTGGCCCTGGTTCAATTCCTTGGTGGGACAGATCCCCTGGAGAAGGGATAGGCTACCTGCTCCAGTATTCTTGCACTTCCCTTGTGGCTCAGCTGGTAAAGAATCCACCTGCAGTGCAGGAGACCTGGGATCGATCCCTGGGTTGGGAAGATCCCCTGGAGAAGGGAGTCTATTCACTCCAGTATTCTGGCCTGGAGAATTCCATGAACTGTATAGTCCATGGGGTCGCAAAGAATCGGACACCACTGAGCAACTTTCACTTCACAACTATTGAATATAAATGTAAGATACTGGAATGAGATAGATGGGGGTCATGTAGATCTGTAGAACTCTGATTGAGGGCAGTATCAAAATGTCCCTTAGCTTGTCCTCAGGGACATCTCTTCCCTCAGGACAATGCACTTTAGGGAGATGAAGGATACGTGAGAGGAATTCTTTCTTGAGCTTTTGGATCTTAAGCCTCTTCACACCTGTCTGCCTCTTGGAAAGTCCTTCATCACTAAGATGACTACACATTCCAGTTTATGCCTGTTATTCTGGTTTAAGTATTAACAGAACCCCTGTCACTCTCTTAAGAATCTCCGTTTGGAGGATAATATTGACCGTCCCATCAAGTACCCCTTGTGGTTCCCCAAGTGAACATTATTCAGATCTGAAGGCCACTCTTGTAAACCAAGGTGCCTGACTTACTTTTCTCCTGTTAAATTGTAAAAATATTCATTGTACACTTATGTTCCCTGTACTATATTAGTTACTCTGACATATCTTGTCATCAGAATATACCCCATTTTTCTACCCCTCTTTTTTAACAGAAAACTGCAAACCCAGAGAGCTTAAATGACCTGTCACAGGTAGTAAGTGACTAAACCAGAACTCAAGCCTTGCTCCCTGTTTCTAAACCTGCGCTTATAATCAGGTGTAATCTATGGGTCTCCAGCCTTGTGTTGATCTCCTTCCCTCAGGCACGGGGGTCCTACCTTGCTGGAACTTGGGTTGTAGTTTAGGTCTGCCAAATTGCCCTTTTGCCTGAATCTCCACATCAAACACTTCCTACCAGACTCCCTTTTACAGTTCTCAGCACTTTCTCTTCATGCCTGTCCTGGTTCTGTTCACCAGCATCTCTCCTCTAGGTGACCGAACAGTGTCCAGTCCTTTTAGCAAAGGCAGACAGAGTAATTTCTCCAAATGTTAACATTCTGCTCACCTTCCTAAGCCAATGTGGTGCTTCCCATAAAGATGAAGTCTGAACCTCTTAAGATTTACCAGGCCTTTCTTCTCAAATGCACATGTCAGCCCTACTGAACTTTCTCCTTTTTCTTCTCCAACCTCACCCACTTTGCCTGTATTTGTCCCACACATATACCCACCTCCAAAACCCATCTTCTATTGATACTTGGGGTTCCCTGGTGGCTTAGATGGTAAAGAATCTGCCTGCAATGGAGGGGACCTGAGTTCAATCTCTTAGTGGGGAAGATCCCCTGGAGAAGGGAAGGGCAACCCACTCCCGTATTCTTGCCTGGGAAATCCCATGGACAGAGGAGCCTGGTGGGCTATAGTTCATGGGGTCACAGAGAGTCAGACATGACTGAGCAACTAACATTCATACTTGAGATCCTAGTTAGATCTCCAGGCAGCTTGGTTGGACTTTGGGAGCCACTCTCTGTCCCACTAACTTGGTGTCCTTCCAGTGGTGTGTTGGAGCCAACTGAAACAGTCTTTCAAAGCCAGTTATTCACATCATTTCCCAAGTTCAGTGTTGCATGACATCAGGTTGGCATCTTGAAACTGGCCAGAGTGGAAGTATTCACACAAGGGAAACCGACAAATGGTGCAAATCAGGGTCTCTTTTTTTTTTTCAACTGGTTAGTCAACATTTATCAGAACAACACTGTGACCCTCCTGTATTTTCATAACGCTTAGAACACCATTTATTTTATTCATTCAATGAATGTTTACCTACTTCCTACTACATGTCAGATACGGTTCTTATTGATGAGGCTATAAAGGTGGGCAAATAAGATAATCCTTGCCATCATAGAGCTGACAGTGCTGAAAGGGGGAGATTGACCTTAGTCAGATATCCACATGAATTAAATTAAAAATGACAATTATGTTAAGACTGAAAAATTCTTTAAAAATCTACAATAGGTGGGGCTTCTCTGGTGGTCCGCTGGTTAAGAATCCACCTCCAATGCAGGGGACATGGATTCTATCGCTGGTTGGGGAACTAAGATCCCACATGCCCTGGGGCAACTAAGCTTACATGTGACAGCTAGAGAGTCCATGTGTCACAACAAGAGAGAAGCCCGTGCACTGCAATGAAGACCTGGCACAGCCAAAACATAAATAAGTAAAATGAAATGGAAAGAACATACATGAAAAGAACAATCTGTAACAGGATATTTGACCTAGTCTAGGATGGTTTTCCTGAGCTAGAATCAGATGAAGGGTAAGTGTAGGTTTAGGAAGGAGCAAGATGAAGGAGCATCCCAGGTCCAGGAAACAACATGTGCTACGGCTGGAGGGAGCATGACCCTCAGGATCAAGGGAAAGAGGACACGTGTGGCAAGTGGGAGCTTGGTGGGAGATGCACCTGCAGAGTTAAGGCTGCACAGGGCTTTGCAAGCCCCACCAAAGAGTGTTGTCTTTATCCTAAGAGCAATGGAAAGTCACTGAAGTGTTCTGAGCAGGTAAAGCACATCGAACAAGTGGAAAATCAGTACAGCGTGGCAGTTCAGAAATCAACTCTGGAGCCATCTTGCCTAGCTCGTCGAAAGGCTCACTCTGTGACTTACTAGCATTTTACTAGTAACTTCTATGTGCCTTGGTTTCCTCATGGGTTAAATGGTGATAAAACCTACTCTGCAGGCTGTTTATCAGGTTGTAAAGCTCTTAGAACAGTGCATAGCTCATCATAAATGCTAACGAAAGGGCTTGTTCAATTAAATAAACAAAAATATCTTTGGTAAGACAACTGAATGTTGTCGGTGGTCTGTGGTCTAATAGGGGATGCAGATAAAAACAAATCATTATAAAATAGCATGGAGTAGGCACAAAACATAGTGGTAACACAAAGATGAAGATGAACTTTCCAGTTATTAGGAGCAGGGTCAAGAGCATAAAGGATGTTCCATTTGGAGAGAGCAGCACTAAGAGGGGTAGAGATTCACAAATGTCACTGACTCTGATGCGATGCTTAAAGCTTAAAGCAGACATCAATAAAAACCAATGAGGGGGATGGGGGTGTAACGGTGGGGGTTGAAATTCCTGGTGGTCCAGTGGTCAGTGCTCTAATGGTGGGGTCACGTTCCATCCCTGGCCAAGGAACTAAGATCCTGCAAGCTGCCTATAAACAACAACAATAAAAACACCCCCTCCCCTCCCCAAACAACAATGAGGGGAGAAATGTTGTGGTAGAGGGACTAAGGTGTGATTAATTTCAACTCCAAATGCAGAGGTTTTATGGAGGAGGGCTCCCATTAAGGTTGACTGCATAGGCCTGAACAGGTCATAGTGCTAACTCTGCACCTTACTAGTTTTGTGATTTGACTTCTCTAAATCTTAATGTCCTCATCTGTAAAGTGGGAATAATCATTATAATATAATAATAATAACTCATAGAGTTGTTAAGAAGTCACAGGTCATGCATTAAAATCTTAGCATAAAGTACCCAATAAATGTGAAGCTATTATTATTATATTATGAGTTGAAACTTGAGTGAGAAGAACTTTGGCACTAAAGGAATAAAAGGTCCCAAAGTCAAAAAACATGTGACACATCTGAAGAATAGCAAGTCAAAAGGCACTTTAAAGTGTGGTCATCAGGGCCAATCTATGAACAGTTTTTACTGGTCCATGATGAGATAAATATAGAAATTGAGAGCAAACACTTAAAAATTAAAAGAACACAAAAATAAATTGACAGTAATTTTATATTTGTATACCTGCTAAAGTACCTGTAATGAAAATTGGTGTTTGTAAGTTTTTTTTTTCACTTTTCTAGCAAGTTTTAAATTGTATCTTACAAAAATGACAGTTCCTGACTTATTGGAAATAATAAATAAACTATCTTTACCTCAGATAATTTGAGAAAAAGTAATACTACAGAGCTGGAGATAGCAACATAGAGATGATCCTGGTGGGCGAGGGTCACCTTTGAGGAACTATTTTGAAAGTCTGAGTTCACACTTAATTCAGTGGGCAACGGGGTTACTCAAAGTTTAGAGAGATTGTTAACTGAGGGTTAAGTGTACGGAGGTAAATCGATATTGCAAATTTTGTACTTTTTAAAGTTCCCAGGGAGCATGTGTTTTTGTTGTTGTTGTTGTTAAAGAGGAGACCTGAATTGCTCTGTGTCTCACAAACATAACTGTTTGTATTTGATAAGAGTGTGGTTATTCAAAGGAATTCAAATTTATCAAAACAGAAAACGTTGAAAATACGTGAGCACACATTGTGTGACCAACGATGCGAGTGGCTCGTTGATACATAAAGCTACGCCAGGTAGCCAGACGAATCTCCTTTATTCCCCTGCACCCTCATATAATTAATGCATCAACCAAAGAGGCAGGACTGCCGGATCTCTCCCAGCGCGGGTCTTCTCATCCACCTTCATCACCGTAGCTCTCCAACAACCCTGAGGCACTGGATGGGACAATAACGCTCCATCACCCGGTAGCCCTAGGAGGCGTTGGACAGCTCACCTAATCCCGGGCTTTCCAGACTCTGCCCTCACCCAGGTGCTGAGACAGCAAAACCTTGAGCATTTTCCTTTCAGCGCCTCAACCACTTCCTTCGCTACCTGCCCGGGCACTCCTGCGAGCACACGGCAGCTCGGGTGAGCCCTTTGGCCACTGAGGTCACATCTCAGGTAGGCCCTTCGGTCACCTGAGCTCTTCAGACCCCCTCGTGGCTCCGAGGTCCAAGGCCGTGGGCACCCGCGAGGCCTGAGAGCGACGTTCTGGCCGAAGGACTCCAAATAAAGAAGCAAGACTGCGAGGGGCTCAGGACACTGTGGAGCCAGATCCAGAAGGTGAGGTGACAGCCGGTAGCCCGCGGCCCTCGGGTCGCCTGAGTCGCAGCGAGGCCGTCGTCTGGCGTCGTGGAGGCGGCGCTTGGCTCCCCCGCCCGCGCGCGGGCGCCCGGAGTCCCTGGCCGCTGCGACCCGCCTTCTCGCCGCAGAAACCCTGCAGCCGCCAGGACCAGGTTGGGGGGGGCGGTCCGCGTCGCGGGTGTGGCCGCCGCCATCTGAAGGCTGGGCCTTGAACCTGGCCCTGAGAACGGCCACCCCGCCGCCGCCGCCGCCGCCGCCATAGCTCCAGCGGCCGACCAGGTGCGTGCACCGTCTGCCCGCCCCTGTCAGCCAACGGCTGGGCCTGGCTCCTCCGGGCGGGCGAGCCGAGGCGGGTGGCCGACCCCAGAGTGAGGGGAACTTTCCGAGTAGCTCGTTCGTGGGAGCGACTGACATAGGGGGTGGGGAAGCCGCCGGGAGACCGGCCTGGCCTGTGGCTTCCGCAGCGAAGGGCCAGAAATGAGGACATCGAATGAGGGCGCCGGGATGGAGGAGGATGCTGGGCTCAGGCATCATGGCTCCGTTTCCCTCTCGTCCTGGGACGTGGGAGGGGGAGCTCCGGCCCCAAGCTGCCAAATGCTTCCCTCGCCCGCATCTGGAAGCAATTCCTAGTTCCCCCTTTATCAGGAGCTCCTTTGTGGTTCTTTTCACCTTTTATCTTGTACTTTCATTTTTGGTGTGCAAGTCTAGGCTCCACGCCGGCTCTTAAGTTGCGCGGGACAGAGCCCCTGTTGGACTTGTCAGGTCCTCAGTGTGGTTCAGACGGTAAAGCGTCTGCCTGCAATGCGCGAGACCCAGGTTCGATTCCTGGGTTGGGAAGATCACCCGGAGAAGGAAGTGGCAACCCACTCCAGTATTCTTGCCTGGAAAATCCCATGGATGGAGGAGCCTGGTAGGCTACAGTCCATGGGGTCCCAAAGAATGGGACTGAGCAATTTCACTTTCTTTTTCTTTCAGTAGTACTGAGGAGTTGCGTGAATAAGTGAGTTCCTATGGAGGAGAACTGGTGAATTAACGTCAGTGAATGAATACACTTGAAATAGAGCTGAATGAAGGAATACATGAATGGATATAAATACACACAACGTGGAGGCAGTGGAGACAGAGGCTTACAACACTTATCTTCTGGTAGTTTTCCAAAAGCTGTATAGATGTGGCACTCATAAACACAGTCATTCTGATTGTGGCTATTTAAAAGTTCAATGCTGTATTAAAATAATCCACAGAAGCACTCCTTCATATTTTCATTTTAGATAGATTTTCCTTTATGTATTGCTTAAAGTGAAGTACGTCTAGGCTGCTGCTTCTTTTTCTTTTGCTTGTATTTTGTTTTCTGACTTTGCAGAATCAGTGTCACTATAATATCATTTAATGTATTTATGAAAGATAAAAGAGTGAATCTGAAGGCAGTACCACGTGATTCTGCTTTTAGTAATTTGTAAAACCAGACATTTCTTTAAATTCGGGATTGTGGAGGGTCTTGTTTTCTTTCCCGAGACAGGTGCTGGCTGGTTTGTGGGTGACTGAAGAAGGCTGACTATAGTTCAGAGAGGAAAAGAGAGATATTTATCTGTGCGCAGGCACTTTGGAAGTGACACAGGTGGAGACTGCTTTAATTCAGTTGGTCACTGCTTCAGTTCCAGGTTTCCAGGCCCGGGTTTCAGAAAACCTGGGTGACTTTAGACTTGTTCCTTGATCTCTTTAGGTCTGTTTCTTAATCTTCGAAATGCAAGAGGTTGGATAGGGCCCCTTCCTGAGGTAGACTCCCAGGATTCTCTTTTATTAGGTAAAAGGTGAAATTGCAGGTGATTTTATGAAAGTTTAACTCACTTCAACTGCTCTGCTTGGGATTCTGTAGAATCTTGGCCCCACTGTCTTATCTGCAAATTACAACTCATTCCTCATCTTCTTCACATCTGCTACAGAAGGACCTGGGAGTTTAAAATGAGAATTATAGATTCTGGGCAGGAGGGGAGAAAGGAGGGCAAGAGTGTTTTGTGCATTGCCACAGGCTCCCCATCCTGGGTCTAACTTGTTTTCAATGCAACCAACCTGACAATGCCATATATTTTCAGTATATCCAGGGAATTATCACTATTAATTTGCCTGCATTTGAGATTAGTTATCATAGATCACAACATTTTGGAAATGGAAGGACCTTAGAGATTTTTAAAAGGCACTTAAAAAATCATTTTACATACATATTAAAATATTTCTTGCATGCTACATTTCATGAAGTCCCAAACGTGTTAAGTAAAATAAAATTAATGTTACCCACTTCAGTTCTTTCAAGTCTCTTGGGAGAAGTGAAGTCAGATGTGGTGCTTGGTAGAAAAAAAAAAAAAACAACTTTTTGTGACTGTGTTCTCAAAGATCCAGTTGTTGGGTCACATGTGGTTCCGACATGGAATTTAACAGAGATGATATTTATGGGGCAATGACCACTCACCAAGCACTGTTACATTTAACCTTTTTACTTGTTTTGCCCCATTTCATCCTTGCTGTAAACTTCAGTCCTGCATACCTTGTAATCCCTATTCTACCTTCCAAAAATAGAAACAGTGCTTGGAAAATGGGAAGGTCAGGTATTCAAAACACAGACAATCCCTGCTAGGAAAATCTGTGTAACATTGGAGAATGTGGTCTCTGTGTGTGTTCCAGGATATATATTAAACTCTGGGGCATTGTGGATAAGTGCATTTAGAATGGGAGCTCAGGAGGGGGATAATTAAGACTGAATTACAGAGAATTGGTATAGCATTTTGAAAATTATTGAGTTCCATTGGTACTCCGGAAGACTCTGACATTTTTACATAGGTGCAGATGCATCCTAATGTTAAATGTGCTCAGATTTAACAATCCAGGGAGTATAAAAAGGATCAATCACATCAAGAGATATATGGGTGAGTGGCACCTTTGGACATCGAACTGAGTACAATGTTGTTTCTTGGGTTAGCTTCCGATCCTTGGTAAGTTGCTAATCTCCCAACCTCCTCCTTTATAAGAGGGACAACTCCTAATGCAAAATACAATGCCTACCTTGCTGTAATCTAGGGGCAGGAATGCAGGATGAGTTTCCAGAACTCTTATAATTAATTGACAAGAGCAAAAGAGGAAAAGAGAGGCCCATGAAGTAAGTGGTAAATTATTTTGTTTCTTCTTTGTCAGTCAAGTTGAGTTTCATAGAAGGCAGAGACCAGTTGCAGCTGCTTGAAAAACTGAGAGTGATGCCAGTTTGATTTAGCTCAGGAGGCTGAAACTTTCCGCCCTGAAGGCTGGTGTGATGGAATAGACCTTCCCATTGCTCACAATAATATGAAAAAAACATTAAAGCAACAATTTTTATTACTTGCCCTGGAGCTAGAGCTTTAAAATGTACTTTCTTCTCCCCCTGCCCTCCCTAAACCACTTAGGCTTTTTAAAACAAACAACCCATTCATGTGTTTGCTGCATCAGATTATTAGTCCTTTCCTTTATTCTCGGGCCCTGTCTCTTTAGTGCAGCTAAGATGAAGGACTGGTGTGCTTCTGTGGAATTTTTCTTTAGTTATTATTTTCTTCTGTGCGTGTTAATTTCAGTAACCGTTTATTGAGTGCATACTGTGTGGCAGATAAAGATGCACGAGATGCCGAGTTTATGGAGGGAAGTGATCCATCCATAAATAACTGCAGCACAGGGTGATGTGGAAGTAGTAGCCACTCATTCTCCCAGGAGAGAGGTTTGGTCAGAATTTAGGAAGATTTCATAGAGCAGGTGAATTTTGACTGGATTTTGAAGCCTAAAGGCCAAAAGGAGGGAGAAGAGTGTTCTGAGCACAGAGAAGAGGATGGGCAAAGGAAAGGAGGCAGTTGGAGCACGGCGCTGCCAGGGAGAAACCCGGATTGGGTGGGTCTTGTGAGGCTGGGGCCAGAGAGAGAAGGTCCTTGAATGTCGTGTTATTTCAGCTTTATCACAGCCTAGAAAATTTTATTTAAGAGTTTTAAAGTAATTTTTTAATAGGAGGAGTGCTATAATTGGACTTTCTCTAGAAAATAGCTCCAGCAATAACATTTTGGGGAAGCTAGAGATGGAAAGCTGGGAGGCCAGAGGAAAATGAGGATGCTGGTGCTATAGTCCAAAGGAAATGGGATTAAGGGTCTAAACTAGCATAGGTTTGAGAGATATTCAGAAGATAGGGAGAGCAGGGTTTAATGACTAACTGGATATGGTAAGTAAGGTTGACAATAATTCTGAGGTTTTGGTATTGCTTACCTAGGTAGATGGAGATGCCACTAATGAGGGTAATAAACATCAGATGAGGAAGAGGTTTGGGGAGGAAGACAGTGAGTAGAGACAACTGTGGAATATCCACGGGAGATCCTTGATGTATACCCTTGACTAGTGACTATAGTTGTACTGTGACATCATATAGCCAAGACCGGTCAAATTTTATGACAGATCTGCAGTCTAAATAGACAAATCAATTCAATAAATCATGTAAAAAGAAGGAAGAAAACACACTAGACTTTACTAATGACCATTATATTTCAGGTGCATTTTTCTTAGAACTCTAATTCTTATGTAAGTTCTACTGGGAAAAAAAAAAGATACTCAAACAATGAGGGGTTATTAAAAATCATCAAGAAAACCAAACTAGAGTGACGCAGAGGGGAGTGGTTGAAATGAACAAAGATAAGCAAATGGTAGGACTGTAGCAGAGAGGACTGATTGCTCAAGACACAGGTATGGGCAGATTTGGAATACAGAGATGGTAATTGAGCTGGCTCTTCCAAATAATGTATTTCTTTAGTGGTAAGAATATCACAAGCTTTGGTTTCTCGTCTAATTCAACTTGTTCAGTTCAGTTCAGTCACTCAGTCCTGTCCGACTCTTTGCAACCCCATGGACTGCAGCGCACCAGGCTTCCCTGTCCTTCACCAACTCCCAGAGCTTGCTCAAACTCATGTCCATCGAGTTGGTGATGCCATCCAGCCATCTCATCCTCTTGTCCCCTTCTCCTCAAATCTTTCTCAGCATCAGGGTCTTTTCCAAGGAGTTAGTTCTTTGCATCAGGTGGCCAAAGTATTGGAGTTTCAACTTCAGCATCAGTCCTTCCAATGAATATTCAGGACTGATTTCCTTTAGGATGGACTGCTTTGATCTCCTTGCAGTCCAAGGGACTCTCAAGAGTCTTCTCCAACACCACAGTTCAAAAGCATCAATTCTTCGGTACTCAGCTTTCTTTATAGCCCAACTCTCACATCCATACATGACTACTGGAAAAACCATAGCTTTGACTAGATGGACCTTTGTTGGCAAAGTAACATCTCTGCTTTTTAATATGATTTCTAGGTTGGTCATAGCTTTTCTTCCAGGGAGCAAGCGTCTTTTAATTAAACTTATTAGGGAGAGACAAACAGGTGATTGTTTAGAAGTACTGTGCAGAGGGTTTGTGCTTATTTTGCAGATAAAGTGTTGGAAGACCTTGAACTAAGCGAAGAATAACAGAGTAAGATAAAATGAAAGGGTAATAATTA